GGCACACCACCAGCGCTGATGATTATTCACGCCACAACCACACACCGTGACACGACACGGTCGGGAATACAAATAAAAGTATGTGACATCACTTTTAAAATGAGCTACAAAAATAACGTCATGCACAAAAATGGTGGGATAAAAACAAATAAGACACATCCAGTATAAAATATCGTGCGCGGAAAAGGGAAAACAACTATTTTTTTTAAGGCAAAATAAAGTGAGTAACTTAAGTGAACCTTAACATAAGCTCATACAAAAGTGTACTTTAGTACAGACTTGCGATTCCAACCCCTTGCCCCGCACTTGTCATCGTGACTGTGACTGCGATGCACTTACAAGTTCCTGTCACATTTCTATGTATCGCTTAAGGTCTGGGTAGAAACATGTTAGAGGAAGACATCGGCGAGGGGCGTTGATTCCTTACCTCGACGGGGGTTGCTCCAAGAGTAACGAGTAGTCCAAAACGGATAAGTCCACTCGGTGCGTAGGGATAATCCAAACTGGGCTCTTCAGTCGTCTCCACTCATGGCGTTGCCAAGAACACACGCACAGCAGTAGTACATATCACTCGAGATCACTCACACGCAAGAACTGGTCAACACTGTTCACAATTAGAGGGTCGTCACTTAGAGAACACTCGCGAATATCAGCTCGCGGTTTGGCTCGCAACGCCGACACACTGAGCTGGCTCGACGCGGTAAACACAACGATCGTGCCGGGCCTGGCTTCGGAGGCGGACTGCGGCCTGACGCTCGGCTCGGGCTCGGCTGTCGGGCCGGGGCGGAGTAATCACAGCGTCGGGACCCGAGCGGGACCCGAACGAACCGAGCGGAGCCGAGCCGAGCCCGAGCGCCACTTCCTCCGACGCCCACCTCTCCTCCTCCAGCAGCCGCCCCTGCCTCGCGCTTCCGCTCCGGCAATGGCGCGACGCCGGAAAAAGGGGTAAAAAAAACAACAAACAAACAAACAGGGAAAGCACGTTCGAGCACTCGCCGATGTTGGAGCAGAGCAAGTGAGTGCACCTGCTAGCGTAGCACAATGGCACAGTATTCGCGTTCAGTACATAATTTTATGTGTTTCGGACCGGAAGGGAAAACCTAGAAATCTGTGCCTTCCAAATTTTTCCACTCTAAAGTAAAGAACTGGGGAAATGTTCACATCTAAAAGACATTTTAATCACCTGCTGCAGCCTCAGCATCCAAAAAGGACTAAAATCCTACAAGTGAGCAGTGTCACGGACACAGTTTGAAAGTGAGTGGACCCCGTCCCGCCTTGCAGCGCATGTCCCCGCTCTGCACACGTTATGTCCCTCGTCCTTGAGGAGGCCTCTGCCGCTGCCCAGCCGCCGCCGCCTACTTTCCTTCGCGTTCAAATCGTTTCCCTTCCGCTCCGCGTCCACCGCAAATGGAACCAATCGCCGGTGCATGACAACTCAACTTGTGGTTTGGAAGGAAATGTTTACGAGTGCATTTCAGGGCGGCGGCGGCGGCGGCGGCTGCTGCAGTGCGACCGACCGCCGTGCGTAGAGCGAAGGCGATGCACTTCGAAATGATCTGGAACAGAACGTTCCCGAGTGAGGCGTTTTCTCCTCCACCACCGGCGACCGGTCCACGCCTCCACGGCGGTGCGACAGGCAAAAGCAGACTATCATCTAGTCCTCAATACCCTCGACAAGTTGATCTGCACGGATTAAAGTAAGCGTACAAAATCAATCGCATGTATGAATATTTTCAAAGAGCAAACGCTTTTTACGTTTTTATTGTATTAGCATCCCTCAACGCAACAAACGGAAACAGCGAGTTCCAAAACAGAAAAGTGTTTGAGGTATCTCACTAACACCGTTTTGCCGCACCGCTCACTTCTCTGCTCCCAATTATCAAATGCAGTAGTAAATACCCGAGCAGCTCCCACACTACACACACTATATACCGCTCGCGGATGCCAAGCTCATCGTGGGAGATGCGATGTTGGCAACTCTGTGTGGGAGAGGGGTGGGTGCAGCCCGGTGGGTTCCGCGTGGCCGCCCGGAAGCACAGGCGGGCGCGGGGCGGGTGCCCGGGGTGCCCCTGCACTGCACTCACGGCGGTCATATGTCCCCCGCGCGCCCCGCCCGCACCGGAGCCGGATCTGCGGCTGGACGGCCGGCGGGGCGCAAGTCCGTGTCCGGAGGGGGAAGTCCCGCGTGGGCTCCCACGGCCCACGGCTATGCTACCGAACCCATCACAAATTAGTTGACAACTTTTTTATCCCGCGAGCAGAGGGGACTTTTATAGGTTGCCAGCACTCAGATTACTTTTATTTTTATGATGAACGGCACCTCATTTGAGGCGTGCTATATAATCCACAGTAAGCAACATGAATAAAAAGAAACTTTTTATTGAGAAGTCAATCGAAACGTCTTTCATTCATTCATTCATTCATTCGTTCGTTCGTTCATTCGTTTGGTAAATTGCTACCTTTTTAAGTGTATGAATCTCTATTCGCACACCAAAAAATGTGTGAATATTTTGTCACACACCTGCAGGTGTGTGAATTCTGTCAATCAAGGCGTCGCGATGAGGACAGAATTTCAGCAATTTTCCATTTTGCACTTTTTTCACGCAGCAAAAACAGGAAATATATTTTACTCCCTTTTCGTCGCTCTGCCATGCTCTTTCTGAAGCGGTTAGTTAGATTATCTGCGGTGTACCTTGGGCTTTGCTTTAGGGACGTCTAAGACACATCTCGTTTGCGCCGCGTGCGCAAGCAGTGTGCTGCTCGCTGCGAATTTATCGCCGAGGCATTAAAGAGAGCCATCATTGCCCGCGTGACACGGTCGAGCCATCGATCTCTCACGGGCCCCGGCCGACCGGCCGCGTATACGGTTTTGCCAACAACCAGCAACTACTTGACGGCAACACGGGACGCATTAGAATAACGGTTTTGAAATTTCGTTAACAAGTAGTCCGTCGAGTGTCGGTGGTTGGCAGCAGTCAAGGTTAAAAGTTCCGGCAGTACCTATGTATGTTGTGGGTACCACGTGCACTGAAGCACAAGTTACAGAGCGCTCGCCTCGACAGATTTAAAAACAAAAATCAGCATTACTGAACCTGATGCAAGAGCTTGTTTTCATTACTTGTCGTTGCCTGGGCGCGATAGGCCTGGCGGTTATGTCACCTGTCGTTCGGTATACCGCAAACTATTTTTTTTTCTTTTCGCTGGACGGGTACAGCTGGTACGTACGGCGGTGGGTGCCGGGCCGGAAGCGGCCTGCCAAACTATTCCACAGGCCATGCGTTTGCAGCCCAGCAGAAATGACCGTCGGGCGATGAGAAGAGGAAGGAATCCGGCAAAAAATCATTAGGCGCTGCAGACGGGGTGCGGGCGGGCTGGGGGGCGGTGCGGGGGTGACGGGGGCGGCGGGGGCGGCGCCTGAGTGAGTCGGGCCCCTGCGGCGACCTGATGGACTTGTGCGTCATCTTGGCGCAGTCGGGGTCGTTAGCGTGTGGCGGAGGGGCGGCAGGTGAGAAACTGGAGGTAAACAGGGGCTTAGCTGCGACAAACGGGGTAAAAGTAGGGTCGAGGAGGGCGGGCGGGCGGCCGGACGACCCCGTTGATGGATTTCGGTGCTGCGGAGGCCACTTCGGACGCGCCCGCGACCCCGCCCCTCACTCTGTCGCACCCCCATAGCCGAGGCTATAGAGGTGGAAGAGAGACGACACGGAGAATAAGGACTTTTCGGACGGAAGAGGCGCAGTGAGGTGGTGAGGAGGGGTGAGCGGCGGTGGGGGCGGCGGTAGTGGTGTGAATGTCGGCGAGGGGCGCGAAAAACGGATGGGATGGAACCACTTCCTGACCTCGACGCCGACACTCGATGCCGACAAAGCGGCCGCGCGCCCCTCCCGGTGCCGCCGACGCACGCGCCCCGCCCCGCAACAGTCAGGACGGAGCGCCCCCAGGCCGCGCCCTCGCACGCAATTCGGACGAGGCAAATGGGAATGAGGCAGGCGATCCCCAAATTCGGAAAAAAATCTGGTTACAATTAGCAAATTTGGTCAAGTGTGCCAGGAGGGTGGAGAACTCGTCGCGTCGTTGTGTACTGACTTCAGGCCCCTTTGACTAGCTTGAACCCGCATTGGCGTAGGTAGGCAACCCAGCCACACGCATGTCTGCGAGGCAGGGTAGAACTATACGAAATCACTCGAGAGAGGTTTTACAGAAACACCGTTCACAACTGACGACTTTGAAGTGTGTCATTTCATCCCATCATTTGTGACGACATTAGTGCCCACACTTGTATAAAAGTGCTTGTCACACGGTTGTCACAACGCCAGGCTTCCAAATGACGGAGCGCGCGAGGGGGAAAGACCCCACCGAGCCTAGGCCAGGTGTGACAAGCACTCTTGTTAGTTGTAATCAGCTGATCGGGAGCCTAGGCCGGGCCACAACTTATTGCCAGCCGCCCCCGTGCGTCTTGTATATACATGCAGCAGGCACACGGCCCCTCCTCCTCCTCCTCCTCCTTCAATTGCATTCTCTTTCGACAGACCTCATCTGTATCCAGGGTTTGATCCAGGAGCAGCAACAACAGCCCAGCGGCGACTAGAGGTGCCGCGCCACGCCACACGGAGGCCGGACGCGCCCGTGATCATGTCGCTCGCTGGGATTACATCCCACACCCCATCCGGCCCAACAGCAGCGTTTTCAATATGAACGCGCCCTGCGCCCGGTGCACACGTGCAGCGGCCACCTCTCGTGACGGGCTCACTATGTTCCAGAGCGAAGGTCAGTGGGTTGCATGTTGCGCGCACGCCATATAGCTCGCCCTGTGTGTCCGCGCCGCCGTCCTCCCAAATGTTTTCATAGCGGCACCAACGCGTCCACTGGCCTACTACACTTTGGAAGAGTCTCGAAACGGGGCGTTGCATGCAGACTTCTTCACATGTTCAAAGCGGAAGACAGAGAGGGGCGTTAGTGGCTGTAGGCCATATCATATCCCGCCTCGCCACCCCACCTGCTCGGACAACCAATTCTTACGCTTTTCTAAGAGTGGAAAATTCAGTCACGTCCTTACCAAAGCGTCGAAGCGATTGTAAGTCTGTCTTGTAAAATATGTCCACACACTATCTACCAGGTGGCTGATTCACGCCGCGCACTTCTGTAGGTATACTGTACGGCATGCACGAGTGCGGGCGGGCTTGCCTATCGCCCCTGTCCACGGCGCCTTACGAGCCGAGCGAGTAGGCAACCCGTCCTCACTCGTGCATGCGGCACAGCATAACTACAGAAGAGCGCGGCGTGAATCAGCCACCTGGTATATTTGTTTCTTTTATTTGTAGAAAATTAAGCAATCAAAATTTTGGCTCACATTGCTGCGCTGATTTGAACACTTTTGTGTATTTTTGCCGATTTTCGCGCACAAATTTGTCCAAACGTCAGAAAGTTTTCGGCAGTTTCCCCATACTCTTCATTTCTTACTTCCGTATTTGTTCTTAAGCGTACCTTCGGAGTGGAGCTACTCCAGTACTACTATAGCTGATGTTAGATACACCTTCTCTAGCAGCAGCAGCAGGCCCGCCGATTCACTAATCCTCGCTCCAGAGCAGCTTTACATAATCCCGGGCGCCACGCCCGCCCCTGGCCCGCCCCTGGCGCGCCCCGCCACCTGCCGGTCGCACGCCGCTATGCCGCTTTACGAGTTGCCCGGCCCCGCATGCGATTAGCTCCCAGGGTTACCCGCCCTCTAGTGAAAATAACCTCACTTTCGACCGCGCGGGACAAAATAA